AAATGTTTACTGTATATTTTTGTTTGCATTAAAAAGACAACTAAATGCCTACCTATTTCACAGAGAGTTCCAGCATACCCAGGCACACACTGACAGGTGAAGCTGTTTCCCCCGTCCTGGCATACTGCTCCATTCTGACAGGGGGCGCTTCGGCACTCGTCAACCTCAACTAAAACAGCCACAGTGAAATCAAACAAATGTATAAGCACAGATATTTAATACGCACAACGCGTTATTGCTTAGTGAATGGTGGGCACATTGATATCACATGTATATGTGGACATTCTAGACAGTTAAATTTCAGGTGCATAAATTATGATAAGAGCAGAAATTCACACCTTTTTATGTCAAATTGTCTCTCAGAGATTGGTGAAACTATACATACTTAAAAGTTACAACTGAGTCAAAAAGAGCTATATTCGTACAAAGCATTATGGGGGAAAAATTGTAAGATTCGTGGTTTGAGGGTTAAGTAGTGAAGTACTCACCTCGGGCGCAGAAGGCGAAGCGGTCATTGTAGTCATTTCCGTAGGTGCACCAGCCGTTACCCTCCACACCACAGGCAGAGCCAGAATGATAGCTGGCCATGAAGCTGTACACTCCGTCCAGCGCAGGGCAGACCATGGGATAGCCACCGCAGAGAACCAGGGACACGTCATGCATGGGCCACCCGCAGTAGATAAGCCCGGTCTGGACACAGTCGGCTGACGAGTGTCCGCAGTCCCCGTCCCCGGGACACGGTGTGACGTAACCAGCTCGTTCACAAGTAACCTTGACATTCGCGCTGGACATGGGCCCAGTGGCGGGCACTTTGAAGTAGTCGTAGCCCGAATACGTCACCAAAAACGTTCCGGCTGAAGAGCAACATAGAATTAAGAGAAACTGTTTTCATTGTTGAACATTCAATTGAACACGACGATGAAATGAGACTTGAACAAACAACTCGATCAAATTGAACAAAATGGGATGCTCACTAATACTGTTTATCAGTAGTATAAAATTCTTTATACGAAATTTACATTTTATCCTTTCTAGACCGGGGGGGGGGCTAAAAATGCCCGCGCTAACTTTGATGTCAGATAGCGTCTGAACGGCTAGCGCTAGAACCACCAAACTTGGTGACTTTTCCTAAAATATAGTTGGCAACAAATTTATATCATTGGAATAGGTTAATGATTTTTTGTGTTGCCATGGCAACGGGTTTCTGAAAAGCATTTTTATATCTAGTAACTTTCATTTCAAGTTTTAGGGTATACTATTAAGTTCTAGGGAATAACCTATCTAGACGGTTTGGGCCACTAAAATCACATTAATGACGTCATAATGACGTCATATTATGTTATAGCGACTTCAAGATATTTTTTAAATATAATTATATCATGATTAAGTTTTACTAGTACACCATTCTCTGGTAATTTGGTGGTCATACGATATACCTATCACACGAGTTCTTGGGGGGGGGGTGAGCCCGGTCCAAGACACCCAAAAAAGCTCGGTCTTGACAGGGTCATAAGATTAGTAAGCTTTAACTTACACCTAATATATCGACCGTACCAAAACAGACCTTTGCCATATTGATCTAGTAATATTATTATATTTACCGAAGGAAAACATGTTCATTTTGCTCAATTTCCAGCTTTTCTTCTTCCATTTCAAACAAATAAGGTCAATGACCTGATCCGGCCAGACGTCTCTCACCATGGTAACTGGTGTTGGGTTAGATCATATTGCAATTTTAAAGCAGGAAGGATTTAGACTCCTGCCACCATATATATGAATGTGTTTGAGTAAGAATTGACAGAGCAGACCTTATGCGAAGGTAAACATTATGCATATGCTTTGCAAATGTTACCTTTCTAGTTTTTCTTTTTATATCCTCACAATAAAAAGATGAAGTAATGATACAACACCTACTTGGTGAGGCCGGGCCGGCGGCCAGAGCGAAAACCAAGATCAGGGAGATCCACATCTTCACTGCCTCAAGATTCCAACGTGCTGTGATTACAACAGTTTGTACCGTGTTGCCAGCGGTTAGCAGAATGGACGTCGTGTTCTCTGTAACAAAGGTCTTCTCTTAACTACGACCGACGGTTTGCTGATTGGCGTAGGGTGCCGTGAGTACCGCCTCACTAAAAAAAACATCCCAAGCCCCTTTACCCTTGCCAGTTTACTTTTCACGATTAAAGTGCAAAGCCCTGTGATAACAGCGCTAGTACTTATATAAATACTCACGTAGTCACTCAGTCAATAGCCAGGGGGAAACATTAAAATATAACCCTTGCTCATGGCACAGTACATCTGATAAATAACGCGTCCGTCAGGATGTAAAAGGCTTAGATATAGTAGGAGTCATTATTGCCACTGAAGGACTGTTGGGCCGCCATTTTGAGTCGAGGCCAGGGGCACCAGGATTCGACTAAGTCAAGTCAAGAAGGCACTGGACTTACAACTAATGCAGCTTTAAAGCTTGTTCTAATTCAATACTGGAGCTATTCTATCTTTTGTCAGCCATGTTTTTTTGGGAATTCCCATGCGGCATTTAATGACCAAAGTGTTTCTATCTACACGTACTTTTCGTACACGTCAACATTCATTGTGTTGTTCAGCACAGAAGCTGAGGTTATTTGTATTGCCGGTATAACCACTCTGTACCTCCTGCGCAACATACAACTTATATATCCTATAACTGTATTTGTATAGCCAGTATAACAACCCTTTAGCTTCAGTGTAACACACTAGCTTTGCAGGCACGCGATGCTTCGGTACTTGGCTGAATATTATATTGTACTGAACGACCTGTCACATTCAACGTTTGCCCATATAACTGTATCTGTATTAGTATAGACGGTGTAACAAACCTTATCTGCATCTGTATTCATTTTGGTATAGCCGGTATAACCTCCCTTCGGCGTAACACACCAGCTACTGAACGATCAGTCACTAACCTTTGCACATGTAACTGTTACATCACTAGTAACCGTTCCCTGACCCTGCCTCTGTTCTAACCGTTCCCTGACCCTGCCGCTGTTCCAACCGACCCTGACCTCCTAACTGTTGACACGCGCAAAGTCACGTCCCGAGTCCAGAGTTCCTCCTTGTTTGGAGGCAGTGCAGGTGACTGGTACATAACAAGACGCCAATAAGCCAATAAAAGCCATTAGGTAAAGATGACAAATGATGTGTTGGCAAGTGCACAACTTTTATTCATTCTGCCCAACATGCTTCACGTCTTTTTCGACTGTACTTTGCTTTTGAAAAGCAGACAATCTTTAGTCTAGTCTTTAATGTTTGCATTTTGCTTCCTTTGCTTATCAGACGGTTTATTCCATGAGCCGTGTTGCCAGGTGCTGACCTGGTTTACTGTTAGGGCATTGGCAATGTTTGGATTACGATGTTCCAGTTTGGTGTCAAAAACACTTGACACACAATAAAGAAATCCATAATGTCAAAACCCAGTGAAGATGACAAATGACGTGTTGGCAAGTGCACAACTTTTATTCATTCTGCCCAACGTGCTTTATGTCTTTCCGACTCTACTTCGCCACGTTGTTCTGTAGATCAGCCAAGTCGGGAGTCTACCCGGCTCTGCACGAGAAAGATGCCACGCCCTCCTCCCTGCAGTACATGCCGTCCGGACAGGAGGCGCTGCTGCACGAGTAGGGCTCCGCCAGCCTGGTGGTGCCGGCTGCGGAAAGAGAACGTTGCAAATTGTTGATGGACAGATTTCTATAAAAATTCACGCACGTAAGATAGATTGAGGAAGTAATTAGTATCATTATATAGGTGATAAGTATACTCTCATTAGTCCAAACATCCATCCAACCATGTATAGGGCTTATAAGTACATGTATATGTGTGATTCTAGGCTTAAATCTGTACATAATACACTTTTCCAAAGAATCAACTATTAAACAATGTTTAAACATCATGTCGTATTGCGGAAAAATTACAACAGCATGACTTGTCATTTCATTTGAAATCATAGTACATTCCTGTTATTATCATCAGATCTTAAGATCTTGCAACTATTTGAGGCAAGATAATTAAAATTTCTACACGACAGTGGTGTTTTTAAACATAAGTCCTGTTTCTTATATCGCCTAAAACGTGTATAGTAGAGATGTGAAATCGTTCTTACCGAGGCAGACGAAATTGTTGCCTTGGTCCTGACACTGCCAGTCGAACGGACAGGCAACATCGGCACACAGGTCAAGGTCTAAAAAAAGGACAAACTTTAAGAAATTGTAATAAAACTCAGTTTCAGGTACTAGCTAAATGATCAAAGGATCTAATAACAAAAGTCGCCAAGTTGGTGGCCCTAGCGCAAGCCGTTGGGACGCTATTCGACATCAAACTTGGCTCGGGCACTTTGTGCCCCCCCCCCCCACAGCTAGTCAAGGTGTCTGATAACTCACCTGTTTGACAGTTGTCTCCCCCGTAACCAATAGGACAGTGACAGTGGTAGGAGTCGAGGCCGTCCTGGCAGGTTCCGTCGTTTTGACAAGGATTGGAGGCACACTCGTCAATGTCTGTAGGAGACAAACCAACGGTCATCTATAGAATTAAAATTAGTCAGATTTCTTACTTCATCTGTTATTGTATTCAATTGATTAGCTTTACCACATCTAAATGTAAAAGTCGACATCAATGGCAGCCTTAAAATACTTGAGAACAAGAAATATGAGATTTCACACCCAGCATTTTTCTGCTTACTGAACTCTAATCCCTGCTGGCTCCCTGTCAGATCCCGAGACCTTTACGTCCACACAATTTCCTGAGTCTAACCTTTTCCCCTCCTGTCTTTCTCCCTGTCAATCTTCCCCCCACTAACGTACTTTCAACCTACCATGTCTGGTCGAGCAAATACTAACCTGGTACTCACAGCTCTGCCACCCAAAACGATACTGCCATTCCAGTAAGAAATGACCGTTTAACTACTATATGGTAATCAAATGAGAGTCGAAAATACCTCAGCCTCCTTCGCAGACTTCTGATGCGGCGGCATTAATTTTTTCGGTGAGCAATGCTAGTTATGCAGCGGAGGGAAGGTTTTGTTGCCGAGGGACTTTGCCTGGGAGAGACGGTTTCGCACAAAGTCCCTCGGCGGCAAAACCGTCACTCCGCGGCAAAACTCCCGTCGCTCCCCGAAAAGATTAACGCCGCCGCATCAGAAGTCAGCGAAGGAGGCTAACAATACCTAGCGTGCAGAGACCTCCCTCATATCCGGGAAGACAGGAACAGTAGCTGTAGGAGTCGTTGAAGCAGGTCGAGCAGACACCGTTGTTGGAACAGCTGTCCTGTGCTTGCTCGCATGGCGTCGGGTCTAAGTTGAATACATTGCAACTCTGAGTTTTATGATATACTATAGGAACTATTTCTTAATAACATTGTGTTTATCGCCATTATGTCTAGATTTGGAATGCTTGTAATTACCTTTTAGACATGCATTTGTAAAAGAATATTATCAAGATAACTCTGGATTTGATATCTTCTATGAAGTCTTCGACTTCGTTGTACGTCCAAGACTCCAGATGTACGGCCTGAATGTTAGCCTCCGTAGCAGGCTTATAGAACTGGGGGTTTGGTGGTCTTCGGCTGTTTTCTGATGAGCCCAGTTCTGAAAAACGAGGGCAATTCAACCAGGCCGGATTTGTTGTCTATATGCACTCAGAAAATACCACATAAAAGCTCCCAAAGACCATGAAGACCCCCAGTTTTTGGCATGCTATGAAGTCTACTGAATGTTACACGAGCATGTATATCATTAAACTACAAGAGAACGTTACCCACCCGACTTGCAGACGTAGTGGCGCTGCTCCACACACGAGGCGGTCTGAGCGCGATAGTCGTCCGTGCTGTCCAGGTAAGCACACAGGTCACAGGAGGTGGTGGGAGCACCGGAGGACCACTGCAGCTGGGCTAGTAAAGAATCATTACTTCTGTGTAGGGAAGTATTTTTTGAGTGGCTGAGTATAAGTGTGCGTATCAGTCTGTCCAAGTACGTTTCGTTGAATGTTTTTCTAATTGGGGAGAAGTTATTAGAATTTTGATGTCATCTTTAACAGAGAGAGTCTTGAACAGAAAAAGATAACGGTAAGACAAAGGAAAGGCAGGGGAAAGTTAAAGAAGAGAACACAGATTTCAACAAAGACAAAAATCTTAATAGCATCGAACCTGAGGCACTGGTCCCGTCATCATAGGTCATCACTCCAGGCGACAGCTTGAGTCCGATCCACGGGGACACGTCACTTCCGGCAGGGATGGAATCAGCGATGAGCCGCTGCAGCTCGGCCTCCTTCACATCCACCAGGTGCCCTCCCCTGGTCTGGCACTCCTGGCTCGCTTCGGGATAGGACACGGCATTGGAGGAGAACAGCAGGCAGCCGCCAGCGTATGGGACTAGACAAAAAAAAAAAACATAGAACGGATGCTTCTTAAATATCCATACGCTAAGTCATGTCTTCAAAAGCATCAAACATGAGATGCCTGGATCTAGGCCCTTTTTCTACTAGGATAAAATTGTCCTAGCCTGACTAAACGCGCTCCTGGCGGCCGGCCGCCACCCCCGAAGTAACCTCCGGCCGAGAGCTTGTGTAACATAGGCTAGAATTGTCCGGACGGAGCAGAATAGGTTCACTTTGATCCGGCTCGATTGATTCGGACAATTCTATCCTAGTGGAAAAAGGGCCGTGTAAGAAGTCAAGGAAAAAGAACCACACCTGTTTCGCACTTGTCTCCGACAAAACCTTTGGGGCAGACACAGCTGTAGCCATTCACGTGATCCACGCAAGTTCCGTCTCCTAAACACGGACTGCTCGCACACTCGTCGATATCTGTGACGATAAAACATGGAGTGAGTTTTACTATCTGCATAATCATAATATAAAGTTTTTAAATGATTACTTTAATTGGAACTATATGAAACAACTTGATTTATTGTTATATCAGTGCATTGTTATATCAGTACATCAATGTCTTTAATTTGCTGTTCTTTTTTAGTTTCTACTAAGGCAACACAGACTTAATTCTATGGATGACATCCGCGAGCGAATTGATTAATCGCTTCCTACAAGGCCCTGGCTTAGGTGCCATCCTCCGTTGTCCAAGGTTTGTACTCTTTTGGGTTGGTAGCATTTTTTGGCTAAAATGGTTTTCTTCGCCAGCGCGCAATAGCTTAGGGGTCTTTAGAGGATGCCATCCATAAAATTAAGTAAATGTGGCCTAACTATTTTTCTTAAGGTATGAACCTACCCGTTTCACAGAGAGTTCCGGCATACCCAGGCAGACACTGGCAGGTGAACCCGTTCAGCTCGTCCTGACATGTAGCGTCATTCTGACAGGGGTCGCTGCTGCACTCGTCTATCTCTGTAAGGGTATGGAGACGATGGGAAAACAATCAAGTCATATCAAAATTGTATTACATAAAGAAAAGGGAAAAGCTTCAAATGTCGAAGTTTAAATTACCTAAACAATGCTCATCCATAAAAATCATACTAGTGTGCGCATTACCTTGTAGAGACGCCTACCTGTTTCACAGTGTGTTCCGGCATACCCAGGCGCACACTGACAGATGAACCCGTTAATCTGGTCCTGGCATGTCGCCTGGTTCTGACAGGGGTCGCTGCTGATGCACTCATCAAAATCTGCAAGTGTTGCAAAACGGCGCTGTGATTAGTGCCAAAAGGAAAAGGCGACAGCAATAACTAAAATGTGAGTAGATGATGTTGTTAAACAATGCATTTTATTTTAATATACAGAAGCCAACATATTTGACAGACTGCTCCAGTAACCGTTTTTTTTACTTAGTGGTCGCCACGTAACACGGCCATTTGGCCACTTCAAGGTTAATGGCGCTACCACCTGAATGGTATCACCACTCACCTGGGTTACGGGTTACCGAGTAGAACTGTAACAGCAACTCTTCTCCCTGAGTCAGAAACATCATGATTGAGACTAGCCCAATTTCTCACAAGTAGTGAGGATTTTTGTGTTGTATATTTGCCTTGGTTTTGTTTGTTTTTTGGTGTGAAACAACATTAATGGTGTTAGCATGAAAGTTCATCTGATTTGGTAAAATACATAATGAGAATTAAACTGTTCTCCAACTCAAGAGAATCGACTAACGGAATGTCATCAGCTTTCTAAACCGAGTGCTGTAGACACGTGGGCCAGAAAGCTGATGACGACCAGCGATTCGTGTGAGTCGGGAGAACAGTTTAATTATCATTAGGCATAAATATAAATAATGCGTTCTGTACAAAGGTCCACAACGACACTTCCATACACCTCTTCCACAGCGCCGCCAAGAGATATACCTTCCATACACCTCTTCCGTGCTGTGGAAGGGCTGTGAAAGACCTGTATGGAAGTGTCGTTGTGGGCCTTCGTAGTTCTCATTACCTGCACACAGGGCGTACTTGTCGTTGTAGTTCGCTCCATGCAGGTTCCAGGTGTGAGTCTGGTAGTCCAGTCCCCAGGCGCTGTCATCGCTCAGCCAGTCAGAGATGTACACAAAGATGTCATCAAGGGGCCGACAGTACACAGAGTTAGTATCTCCACACAGGTTTACCGAGAGGTCGAAGTGGGTACCACAGCTGAAACTAGCCATGGTGGCGGTATACGTGATGCAGCCCGAGGTCCAGCCGTTGGTGCACCCGGGACTACCCGAGCTGTAGCACGGGTATCTCATCCCCAGCGCCTCGCACGTGACCTTGACGTTCTGATTAGTCATCGGTCCGGTGACCTTGACCTTGTAAAAATTCCAGTTATCCACCGTGGTCAGGTACTGGTATGGCCTCAAAAGGTCTTGGCCTGAAAAGAAACCACCCATAAATGTTTTAGAATGTTGTATATAAGGACACATTTACTTTCCAACTTTGCATATAGATTAACCAAATTTATTCAATCAATCATCTACAGGCATCAGGTCATGTCCGTAGCCAGAATTTTTATCGGTGGTGGTGGTGGTGGTGGTGGGGGGGGGTTCCTACTGTCTGAGGGGCCAGCGAGCGCTTTATTCGAGAGCTTCCTAGGGGCATGCTCCCCCGAAAAATTTTGAAAATTGAAACCTTCTGAAATAACATTTCCTGTGTTCTTGAGAGGGTCTCAAAGGAAAAGAATCAGAGAACTTTCTTATTCAACGACAAAGTGAGCAGTTTTTCTAGGATTCGAGCCTCGCTGGTGACAACAAATCAGTCCACCTTTTAAAGAAAAATCTTGGACCTTTTGATAAAAAGTGGACCTTTTAGCTATACAACCCTCCGCCCCTCCTGCCTACGGGCATGGCAGGTTCTGATGCATGGCGGCTGCAGACATGCACAGGTCCCGCTCTGTTATCGGTACAGATCCTCCAGTCAGTTCTTGTGACCCCAGCTTTAAATTATTGGTTAGCTATAATTGCCTTCGGCTAGAAGACTGCAAAATCACTTTGCCAATGCATAATTTGCCAGTCGTAAATTAAAGGTTAACATCATTTAACGAAGGCATGAGATCGTGGAACTCTAGTTACTTATAAAGTGTACTTGATGCTGACTACATTTGTATATAGAGCTATTTAAATAAAATATAGAGAACTTTTTAAGAACAAAATAAATGCTAACTGCGCGAGGTAGATTCAGACACATCTAAAAAAACCTCTTTTTTGCGTTCCGTGTGTTTTACCTTTCAACAGACACTTGTATATTGTGCATCATATTTCAAAAGCATACAACTGCAAGCTTTGGTCGTTCAACGGTCGTTCAGAGATCGCCGTCTACTGGGATGTTATAAACGCATGGCATGAGTATGTCTGTGTTGGGGAAACAAGGGCCTTGGGAATACAATTTGACATGTACATCATGTAAACCTATGCCCTTTCTGTACACCCGTCCCCTAGCTAGCCGTAATAATGCATACATGAACTACTCATATGGCAGCCAGGGTTGGTCTATTAAATGCCCGCCAACATACAAACAAATGTAACTACTATGAAAAATTATATGGTGAATCAAGGAGCTTCAACAAGTAGACTTTAACTCAGTGAAATAACGTCCTTGGGTGAATTGACTTATCGATAACCGTACGTGTCTGTTGAGGTACGAGCACAATAATACATTAATGCATGCCTAATCCAAGAATAGAATTAGAAGTCCTGCCATCCTCTGAGATAAAATAGATACTAATTTCATACACACCTTGTGTCAAGTCCGGCCAGACGACCACAGCCGCGATGAAGACCAGAAACTTCCACATGTTCACCATATGCTGAGTTGAGTCCAGACTCCGTGATGTGTGTAAGGCATTTTCTATGCGCGGTAATTTATACTGTGTCCCAAGGCCATGGGAACCACACACCTGGCCAGTAGGGATATTAATATAGTTCTGTCAAGGATATGTTTTGACGTAAGGCCATGTTGATTTGATTATATGGATGACATCCGCGTGCGCATGAATTTTCGGCCGTTTCAACAAAAAAAAGTTTTCAACCATACTGTAAATCGTACAAAACAGTTGCAAAATGAGCAAAAATATACCGTAGGTTACAAAAAAACCATACCCATGTCGTAGAATGCCAAAATCAAACGAAAAAAGACGAAATTGTAAAGAAATGAACTTGAAGACTAGATTATTCGCCAAACCATATTCTGTCCCATTTGGTCAACCCTCATGATTACGTAGATATCATCATGAAAACAACTTTTTTTTTTGCAAAACTTTTTTATGCGCACGCGCGCATCAATTTTGGGGTTCCCGGAGGATGTCATCCATATCATCAAATCAACATGGCCCAACGTGAACCTGTTCGCGGCTCATTACGTAAGCAAATATTATAAGGTCATTTTTTTTATACGTGACATCATTATGAGGCGTGTGCTACAGACTGTCAAAAAGTTTGAAACTGCTGATGACACGTGCATCTAGCTAACCTTTACAGTGGGACACTACTCATGTGTATAATTATGTGTAATGGTCTAAAGTGATATGTATAATTATGTATAAAGATCCAAAGGGTTATGTATAATTATGTATTGCGTAGGGCACTATCAATATGTATACTGGTCCAAAGTGTTATGTATGATTATGTATAATAAATGGGTTATGTATAATTAGGTATAATGGTCCAAAGGGTTATGTATAATTATGGATAATGCCAAAATCGTTATGTGCATAATTATAGTAGAATTATTAAACTAGTGTATAATTGTCATTAATATTTGTGGAGGCAAAGATTTTGACCAGTGGCAAACCAATGGCATTGGGTATGACGTGCAGTTGGCTGAGAGCGACTCGATAATTTGAGCGTAATAACATCATCGTACTGTGGCGCGACACATTCAAACACAAACACTTATATACATATATAAACGCAAATTTTTTTCATGTCACATTTGACATGTTCCGTTAGGTAGGTTACATCTTGAATTCTAATTTCTCTAAACCATACGTTTGAACTATCCGTCGCCAACAAATCTAGAAATAGGTTTAGTACTAAGGGTAATGAATTCGGCAGGTCGAAAAAAAGGTTCAGATCAATTAAGACTGTTTTGAGGTTTTATAAAAGACTACATTCTATCGTCTAAATATGTACATCAAGTAACTGCAAACACTACTCAGCTTACCCGCAACCTCCCAAAGAGCCTCCCAATGCCCCAACAAACCCTGACCCCCCTGACCCTGCCTGAATCGATAATTTGAGCGCAAAAACAACATCGTACTGTAGCGCGAAATATCCGAACCTTAAATACTTATATATAATGAACACACTCGACTAAAATACATGACATTTCATGTCACTTTTTTTACAAGCTCCGTTGGGTACGAGTTTTGATTTGGAATTTTTTTTTAAACCAGACGTTAGAACATTCCGTAGCCAAAAAATCTAGAAATAGGTTTGTTACGCAATAGGCAGGCTGTTTTGAGGTACTATAAAAGACTAGATTCTACAGTTTACAATATGTCCAACCAGTAACAGCAAACACTATTCGGCTTCCCCGTAAACTCCCAAAGAGCCTCCCCATGTCGCAACAAACCCTGACCCCCCTGACCCTGCCTGTTGTCTCACGTACTTCTAGACTCTATTATTAAAACAAAGTACACAACTCTCTCCGGCTGCCGAGAAGGTTGCGTCAGAACAGGTGGGAGAATGACCTGTGTAACTACTGCCGTTTAGAATGGTAAACCATCAATAATAATAGTAATATTATTTAACTGACAATGGAACATGATAATGTCAACTGCAATCTGGCCTGTGAGTGAGTTTTGGTAGAGTATAGTTCACATTTTACTCCAGTTTGTATAACTGCACCCCTCTACAAATGGAATGGTCTTGAGAGCTCATAATGTGTGCACCGTGAATAAAAGCATGAAGCCAAACATCACTACATGTGTACATGAAGAAGTCAAGAATGGCCTGAGGCCCTCTTATAAGTTTGTGAAAAACACGTTTTGTTAAAGTTTGTTAAAACAATTGTTAAAGTGTAATCACACGAACGAGCGATCGCCATGACGTCATAGTAGGCAAAAAGCGAGTAACGGTTGGTTGATTTGCCCACCGATAGTTTGCATATGTCTTCAAAAAAGTTGCATGTATATCATGTAAACAAAAACAGCGATCGCTCGTATATTAAGCCTTTCATTGTACAAAACACCAACATTGGCACTATGATAAGTCAATGACCTGCACCTATATATTACCTATCCCTGACCGTTGAACTCTGGCTGCTGGCACACGTACGCGTGAGTCCACAGTCCAAGTTACAAGCAAATGTAAGGTCGTTGTAGTTTACGCCTGCATTTGTCGCATTTTGTCACTTTTTATTCTGGCAAGTGACAGAGTAAAAATGCTTGTCACCAGTGAGACCTTTAGAATGAAGTACATGTCACACCCAGGTATTTCTAATGCCTGTATGGATGGATGGCGGTGTCTGACGCAAAAACACAAAACAAACCAATTTATTGCGCTCGTGTTGCGTGTGCAATGATATATGGATATAGCTAACTTTATTTCACAGTTAATTGACCTATATATATACTCACGTGAATCAAATGGTGTTCACCTGCACGTATATGCCTTCAAAAATACTAGTGATGAAAAACAACAGCCACTGTACGCGTCAGTCACAGTCAAATTACAATTAAGCAGATGTAAGGTCGTTGTAGTTTACGCCTGTTTTTGTCGCATTTTGCAGTGATATGAACTGGCAAGTGACAAAATAAAAATGCTCGTCACCAGAGAGACCTTTAGAATGAAGTACATGTCGAACCCAGGTATTTCTAATGCCTGTATGGATGGCGGCGATGCAAAAACACAAAACAAGACAAATTATTTTGCCCACATGTTGCGTGTTTCATCATATAAGGAAAAAGTTGTAAATTTCATTTCACAGTTGATTAACCTTTGTCACGTGAATCAGATGGTGTTCACCTGCACGTATATGCCTTCAAAAATACTAGTGATGAAAAACAACAGACCAATTCTGCGTCATATATCTACATCCACTGAGCAACGGGGCAAACGTGCAAATAGAATGATTTAGGCAAAATCTGCATTTATAAATCCACTTTAATCATGCTAAAAATGAGTTTCATTGTTTTTATATTTTCATACTGTGTTCCCATTATAACGGAACATAAGCCAGCCTGCATGGGGAGTCACCCGGCTCTGCACGAGAAAGATGCCGGCCCCTCCTTCTTGCAGTACATGTTCCTTGGACAGGAGGCGCTGCTGCACGGGTCATAACTAGCGCTGTCCGCTACAGTGAAAGAAAATCAAGATATCAATAATGACATCATATAAAATCTACTGCAGTAGCTTTAATAATTGTAATAGTCGTATACCTATCGTATAATTATGTATGAGTGGCTGTAAACGACTAATGTGTGATTGAAAATTGATATTTTCATAGTTGAATGTATCATCATTCTATAATTTGTGTATGCATATCCTACAGCTTGTCCATGATCTGTTTTAAAGTACTTTGCAGATTCTTCAAATCCAAATTCACGTTTACACACGACCATCATGAGTAATTCATTTTTCTTCTACAAATGTTTTGCTTATTCCATGTCCAAGCTTTCATCTGTTCACGAAAGACAGTCAAGGATTTTCATCTGGTAAGGAAAGGTAGGAAAAAGAATGATGTATGATCTTGTGAAATTACCGAGGCAGATGAAATAGTTGCCTTCGTCCTGACACTGCCAGTCGGACGGACAGGAAACCATGGCGCACAGGTCAAGGTCTGAAGAGGAAAAAGAATGAAGTAAAGAAAATCATATTGCAAGCATCTTGACAATAAGATGCCTACATTATGTACTCCATTGGACCGTCAATTCATTAGTTTTGACTTTGCCTTGTGCGAAAGATATGCCAGTGTGTGAAAAAATGCAGATGTTATACCCGATTGGATTACATCATAGTACCCTATCCGTACAATCAAGGAAACCCAAAACACAGGAAGTCTTAAATCTCCAATATCTTCATTCCCTGACTGCAGCAAAGTTATGCATTTCTAGACATTTTTTTTCTATCATGTGCTAGTGATAGAAAAATGATGTATTGAGATCCCGCAAGCCGTACCTGTTTGGCAGTTGTTCCCTGCGTACCCAAACTGGCAGAAACAGCGGTAGGAGTTCAAACCGTCCAGACAGATTCCGCCGTTCGCACAAGGCTCCGAGGAACACTCGTCAATTTCTGTCGACAATATTCACAAGATAGTAAATTTAAACTGTCTAGTAATCATTGTCATTTGACTCTGTTTTTTGTTGTTGTGCAGTATATAATGATATTACATGAAATGGGAGAATGAAACAAATGCAACATATTGAAGCTGCAGTTATGTTGAGCTGTTTGCATTTAAGGAGTATGTAGGAGAAAAGAAAAACTCAATAGACCAACCTATATCGCAGGGGTCTCCCTCATATCCGACAGGACATGGACAGAAGGTGTAGGTCCCGTTAAAGCAGGTCGAGCAGACGCCGTTGTTGGGGCAGTTGTCCTGGGGACAGGGCGTTACTTCTGAAATGGCAATTACACTTGTTCAACATTATCATCGAAATCATCGGGTGTGACTCTGGTCTCTGCCCCCCTCCCCTATTTCGTACTTTTATACTTTTATCCATTAGTTACACAAATACTCTTGTATCAATTTTATTGTACATACAAATAAATTATCATCAACAACAACATTCTGTACGGTGTTCTGGGTTTATTTTGTCAGAAGCAAACGTATATCTTGTCAAATATTGGTGGAATACACTATACCATTGCAAACATTTAACAATCAACATTATCTTGAAAGTTCATCTGTGTTGGTAGAAATCATTATGAAGCAAGTTTAAACTGTAATTTCCAACACAACAAATTGGATCCACAATCCACATTGTTGCACATTGTCTTACCAGACTGGCAAACGTAGTGATGTCGTTCAGTACAGGAGGCGGTTTTAGCCCGATGACCATCTGCGCTGTCCAGGTAAGCACACAGGTCACAGGAGGTGTCAGGTTCACCGGCAGACCATTCCAGCTGATCTGGAGTTGACATAAAATGGCATAAAATCTTAGCTTTTAAGTTAAACCTCAGTCTAAATCTATGATGGTTTTGTTTCTTACGTTTGATTCTCAATTACAACCGCTATTAACTGAATTGGGTCATGATTTACAGTAACCAGTGGTTGGGAAAACCCCGCGAATCGCCTCCAGAATGTTTGAAATAATAACTTAAACATGATGGTCGTTGTTTTTTTTAATCATTCGTTTTATTAATTTTCACAAACATAAGATACGCACACAGAAAAACTTATACTGAAGGGACATGTAGAACAAAAAAAAAGATAAATAAAACCAGAAAACAATGAATAATGGTTACATATTGAATAACAGACAAAAGTGTTCTCTACAATGTTTTCAGCGTTTCAGCTATTTTCCCCCATTTACCAATGTGTCTTTTTTATTTTATCCACCCTTGTTGCTATAATGTATTATAATCTATGAAAATATGATACATATGAGATGAAAGTTTGTAGGTTAAGAGAAAATTGACAGTTTTTAAAGTTAAATTGGAGGGTAATTAGCCTAGGAGGATAATTAAATTTGAAGAAGCTGGACATCGACAATTCAAGTCACCAAAAATAACTCTAAAAAGGTCCAGATTTAAATGTTCCCTAGTATTGTTGAAAACCAGTCTTCCACTTGTATCCAAAATTTTGTAACAACGATGGTCGTTGTTTACAATACCCTGCGTACATAGTAAAGCAGGGAACCCGTATCAAAGCTTGCTCATTCATGACAGTAAATTTGACTGTTATCCGGTTTACGTATACATTCCCGGTAACTCATTGCATCAAGTTAAGAAATAAAAGCAGTGCCAAACCGGAAACACTGGTCCCGTCATCATATGTCATCACCCCCGGCGACAGCTTGAGTCCGATCCACGGGGACACGTCACTTCCGGCAGGGATGGAGTCAGCGATGAGCCGCTGCAGCTCGGCCTCCTTCACATCCACCAGGTGCCCTCCCCTGGTCTGGCACTCCTGGCTCGCTTCGGGATAGGACACGGCATCGGAGGAGAACAGCAGGCAGCCGTCGGCATACATGACTAACAAAAAAATTAAATTCCCTCGTGTGAAAATATAAAACATGCTAATATAAAGCATACTAAAACAGATGTGATACATTGGAGTGGCTTGTAGAACCTTGTCAAATCTTCATTACTTTTGTATATAGCTAACTCTTGCCTGGAGGCTAACTGCAAGTAATCACTGTTTTAATGTAAAAAAAGTATTTAGTATATACATCTGACTATATCATGTAGCCTAGCGTATGGCTTACCTGTTTCGCACCTCTCTCCAGAGAAACCTTTCGGACAGACACAGCTGTAGCCGTCTACCCGATCCACACACGTCCCACGGGCCCAGCATGGAGTACTGACACATTCGTCAATGTCTGTGACATCACAATGTGGATGGATCAAGTATCAAGTAGTAATAAAACCGGTATGTCGTGATGAAAATAACTCACTAAAAAGAAGTTTTGATCCTTTGATTTGTTAGGCTGTATAAAGTACTATACAGCTTTTCAAAGGCTAATAATGGGCTAGCTCTGGTTACTGAATAATATTAAAGCAACATACATTAACGATTCTCATTCAGGTACATTAACAGAGGTAACTTTTACGTCGGTTATAGAAATTATACAAAGCAGTTACTTTGAGCAAGGAGAGGTAATATATTGAAGTATTACCTATTTCACAAGAGGGTCCGGTGTAACCAGCTGCACACTGACATGTGAAGCTGTTCACTCCGTCCTGACATGTAGCGTTATTCTGACAGGGGGCGCTGCTGCATTCATCAAGATCTGCAATACAATATTTTTGCTTCAACCACGATACCTTGTATCATGTAAAACGTTGCGAACAAATTCAACCTGATGCAAATGTGCAAACTGAAGCAACCAAGGTCCAGGAACTATGTGATAATCTTCAAGATCCCGATTTAGATTTACTAGATTGTAAAACATCCATCCTACCTACGTCTACGAAGGTTAGACATTACAAAATACAAACAAGTAAAATCTGAGATTTTATACCTCCGGGCTTTTTATTGTATATTTTTCCTTGTTGTTTGTTATGTGTAGTTGATGGTGATGAATTTTATTTGTTAGATTTAGCGTTCCTGGTTGTGTTATACAGGTCAACTCAACATTTTCATCTGCAGCCCATACCATGTACCCACGGTAAAAATGCATGTCGAGAACGTCTGAGACAGTATACCACGGTATTTGTAAGTTAAGAAGTCGTAATATACGCCGAAAACATCCAAGATTGCGCAAGAGGACGTTGACCCCTGACCCATTGGCCCACCCGGAAGTTACTGGCAGCCAGCCCGGCGCCCCGCGCGACCATTTTCACACTCTAAGGGGTGTCCGAGACACGAAATACAAAATATTCTTACGCCCCAAAACACATATACAATAAAACAAAAAACCTGCACCATCTACAGCCCATTGGCAGAACATACACCGAGTCCCGTCTACCCCAACGCGAGATACAACTGCGATAATATTTCTCTCCTCGATACCTGACAACCTCTTTGAAAACCAAACCAGATGTGGACGACACCAACGATACTTAATACACGCCGACAATCAAAAGACAAAATCACTTTCACACTCAAAGGGGTGTCCATACGCTGTCAAAACGCATCATTTTCACGCACTAAAACACACATACTAAAAAAGCAAAACAACGTGCACCATCTACAGCCCAATAGCAAAACGTATACCAAGTCCCTGACATATCCGTCCACCCAAACGCGAGAAACGGCTGCGAATGTAAAAAGCTTTGTCCCCCACAAAACCCGTCCGCGCAGGGATACATCCCTACCCGGAGGTAAAAAAGCAAATCAAGCAAGTGGGAAAAATCTGCGAGGAGTCCATAATTTCAGAAAGCATCTTCTATATTTCATCAGTGACGAAGAAATGGCCTGATACTTAAACTTGCATATAACTTGATGAGTATGCGATTTGATACGATGAGGATTTTTTTTTATTCATCCACATAGAAAAAGGTACAAGACATGGTGGTGCCGCACTCAAGTGGAAGGCACTTAGGTTTACGGTACCACTAAATAAATACATATAATAAAGAAAAAACAAACGCAACTTTAAGACAGGCAAAACAGTATATACAGGAAATTCAAAAGCGCAAGTCCGGTTCCCCACCCAATGATAAATAATGGCAAAGAGAGGACACAATACATAGATAACACAGGGGGAAATTGAAATCTTCTAAAAACGTTCTGATGTGGTGATAAAGTTTTGGGTAAGTGATAATATATTGGAGTTGACAACTGATGAGAATGCGTAACTGCAACGGAGTAAAATGTTAGCTTTTGCGTTGTCAGTTGTCAATGAGGAAATGAAAACCAAGCAGCCCCTGTAATGCATATTGAACCACAAGAACTTCTGCCTCTTACCTGTTTCACAGAAGTTGCCGCCGAACCCAGGTGCGCACAAACAGGTGTGTCCGTACGTCAGGTCCAGGCAGGTGCTGCCGTTGGAGCAGAAACTGCTCGCACAGTCACCCACGGCGACTGTAGGTCAAAATACAGAAATTTAATCAAGTCTAGATTTTCACTTAACCGCGACGGGGGCCGACATTGTCTACCAGATACCTTTGACCCAATGTTGACGTCACATTTTCAAGAAGTCACGCGACAAGCCTCACTGGGTCAGTCTACTAAGGGAGGAACTTGGCGAAAGCTCTAGGTGAGATAACTTTATGTGTTGGAACTAAAAATTTAACTCTAAACATGTAACTACCAACACAGATGAACTTTTATGATGGTTTAGTCTAGATCTGTTTATACGATGACCGAGGCTAGATTAGTTTCGGCGGTCAATTCCTTGGGCAGGTTTACATAAACAAAACACAATAACGTGCTTGATATTACCGTACAAGGCAAGTTGGCAAGTTTTTCGATTCTGCTACCTTGACACAGAATATTATACGGAATACGAATCGCTTCAACGTATTTGATTCCCTAGAATGAGTGCCATCTTACTTGTATAAGGCCTCCCATACTCTCTCCCTAAAATATGAGGAATGAATATGGGAGCCAAGGTATACAAATTATAGCATGGGGCAAATTGGGTCTCCGTTTTGAAATATGAAGTTTTGCAAATGTTATTTTGCACAGTTGAGTGCAGATCAAGCAGATCAAAGCATGGCATAACTTGTTACCATAGTTACCTGCACATAGCCTCTAAATAGAGAGATAACAAGCCGAGGGAGTTTAGCCATCCAGTTTACAGTTTGTGGGCCGGCAAACTGTAAACTGGATGGCTAAACTCCCTCGACGTGTTATCTCTCTATTTGGCCAATTTCTACTATTTCCAGCCGCGCCCTCAAGCCTGGTAGAGGCTAACCTGCACAAAGGGCGAACTTGTCGTGCTCTTTTGCCCCGGAAGTACACCAGGAGAACCCGCAGGCGCCGCCGTCATCGAACACATCTGGCAGGTACACGAACATGTCCCCGAGCGGACCGCACCAACGCCCGTACGGGGGTCCGCACAGCGTGTGGAAAAAGTCCAGCGGGACTCGGCAGTCGTCGGCGTACTCTTGGAAATTCGGATACAAGAAGAACTTTATTGGACGACAATTGCACATGGTACAATGTATGGCAAACTACATGAAGAGAGTATCAAACAATAAAATGTGTTGAACAAGACCTAATGTCGAATAAACCTAACAAATCTACATCATAATTATTCAAATGATAAGGGATAGCAGAAGTCTTGGATAAAGTGTAACAATCGAGTGGGCTAATCACAAGTTTCGGAATGTTTTCTAATAACAAAGCATTCCTTTATATATCTACCTATTTTTGCGTTGTGGGGACCATTACATGTAAAGATATATTCAAATCTGTCTCTAACATCGAGACTATGTGACCTAAATTTTTATTTTGACGAATGATGCCTAGTAAAGGACATGGAAAGAGTAAAGAGAACATGCAGCTACTGTCTGATCAACTATAATGAACTTGGTTTGCTACTAGTATTATATGAAGTTCGACTTCTTCTTTGTAGGCAACGGAATTTAATCTATGTGAAGCCTATCATGAAGGAAGGGTGGTTCCAAGAAACAAACAAAATGAATGAGGTAATGGGTAAATAATACAAGACAGTTTTATTCATTAGAAAAGATACTATAAGCTACGATTTCCATTTGATTGCAATTGTCTATTAAAGATTTACTAATATTTAGTCTTGTTTAGTCAGTATAAGTGGACAATTATTCAACATTTTGTATTTTTATTTTGTTAGTTTGCAATGACCAATTTGTTTGTAAGTTTGCAATTCTAGGGATAACATACCTGGACCGTGTCACAAACGAAGAAATCATAAACAGCGTAAACTGTCGGTATGAAAGTAAAAACTTAAGTGGTACGGACGTGTAATGAGATCAAATGGACTGTAGAAAACAATTCTTCAAGGAACAGTAAAAGGAGCAAGAAAAGGGGGAAGGCAGAAGAAAAAATGGGCCGACAACATCCAAGAATGGACAGGAAAAAACCCTTCGGAAACCCTAACCCTAGCTCACAGCCGAGAGGGATGGCGGCAGATGGTCAGACACTCCACCATGCAGTGCCCCCACGACCCTGGCCTGGGTTAAGGGACCAAGGTACAAAGTACAAAGGCAATGACCACCCAAAAATCACTGTACTTTTTTCCCGAGTGAATGAAAATTAAAGCTTCTCACTGTTGACGCTGATGCAGTCCGACACCCAGCCGAAACATGTCTGGTTCCCCCCGTAGCAGGGGTATCGCATCCCCGCGGCTTCGCACGCGGTCCTCACGTTCTGGTTCGTCATGGCCCCCGCAGTGCGGACCTTGTAGAACTCCCAACCGTCCCAGGAAATGACGTGGACCACATCCTCTGTTTGATGTTTGATTTTCGAAATTTTTTAAATTTCGATTTTTTTGGTCAACATGTAAAAGTCTAAGCCACAGTGATGATAAACTATTGCAAGCAGATAATAGCACCGCTAAAAAGTGGAAATTTAAAGGAAGAAGAACAAATACAAGTACAGTGACGACTGGCGATATAACGTATGCTTGACTAAGATTTTTGTGCAATTTTATTAAACAACAAGACCACAAGGCAGTGATAGTGAACTCAATCAAGCTGCATATAACACCATTGGAAGATACAAAATTTCAATTATTAAATAAAGAGAGACCAATGTACGTACAACAACGCAGGAGGTGTATGTATGAAGTGTTCTAAAGCCCTGATTTAATTTGTCATAGATATTAAATGTGTGCTGTGCACGCAAGACTATAAACTGCAACTTCAGTACAAATCCACATGTCTAGTCCCGGCCCCACCAGACCTCTGTATGGACCAAAAGCAATGGAATAGGAATAGGCTAGTTTAGTCGTAGGATTGCGTATTACTGGTAAAATCCCCCCCCCTCCCCCTATATAGCTATTTGGACACATTAATACTATTTTATAAGGTCAAAGAACTTGTGCCATAGTCTACCTGCTGACACGGTCGGCAAGGCGATCCCAGCAACAATCAACAGCAGGAACGGCCGCATCTTTACTGTCTGTTCGGCTCAGTTGAGACCTCCGAAATGTGCGTCTGCCAGCCTTCCTTCTCTACACGACAGGCTAGGCAATATCAACCACACAGCTGACCGGTAGTGATAGGCTTGGACACCTCCGGTGAGAGTTCATGCTTCCGTTTATGCCTAGGTCACATTTCCAGACCGGGGCCCGGCCGAGTAGTATGTATGAGCGAAAAATTAACAATGTATATCAAGAATATACAGAAATAGTGCCCATGATTATATTAATTTTTCCCGTTTTGTTTTCTTTTATATCGTACTTTTCGTTCCCAAAAGCCGCCCGGACGGGCCCCGTGTGGGAATAGTGACCTCAGTATTACCAGGTTGTGTGTTTCAACAGTACCCCGTACTGGTGTAAGTAAACCTTGTTCTACCTACCATGTTTCGCCTTCATCCACATTTGGATATCCGTGACAACCTCCAGTCAATGTTAACTAATACTAGTGTTTTGTGTAATGCTGAGGTCACATTTCCAAACCGGGGCCCGGCCGGGCTGTTTCGATTGACCAAAAAAAATCAACAATTTATGTCAAGAATATACGCAAATAGTCCCCATTAGCAAATTTTTAACCTTCTTTGTTTTATTGTTGTCTTTTATATCATACTTTTCGTTCCATAAGACTGTCCGGCCAGGCCCCGGTTTGGGAATGTTACCTCAGCATAACCTCAAGACAGTGTGTTTGTTAATGCCCTTTAACCCTATCTAGACCGGGCTTTTTTGGGCTTGGTGGGACCGGGGGGGGGGGCGTCATTCGGCCCCCCCCCTCCACGAACTCGAGAACGGTATATCGTAGGACCACCAAATTTTCAGAGGATGATGTACTAGTAAAATTTATCATACGTACAATTTTTATGTCGTTGTGACGTAATATGACGTCATTATGACGTCATTAATGTGATTTTATTGGCCAAAACCGTCTAGATAGGTTATTCCCTGAAAACTAAACAGTATACGACATAACTTTACCAAAAGTGTTTACGACAGAATATTAGGATGTACTAAGTCTTATGTTGCCCATAGCAACACCGGTGACGTCATAAAATGACGTCATGCATATATTACATATCCGCCATCTTGGATCATCAATCTTGAATTTTGAAAAATAGTTTTTTTTTCAGGATGAAGCCTAAAATACATTGTAAACAGACTAAAGACATTCATATGGACCTTTTTTGTAAAAAAAATGGGAGTATTGATGAAATTTTAAGGAAAATAAGCTGCATTTACCTGATCTAAAGATATGGTCCGCCATCTTGGATTTTGGCCAATGACGTCATCAAATTAGCATAAATTATGCATTTTTAATGATAAAATTTACATATAATCATATGTGATGTTATTAATGTTAGAAACAATGTGTAACTTGACATAAAACCCATAAAATTCTGTTGTTTAAATGGAAATAATTAAATTTAGCCAAAAAATGACCTGTCAGAAACCCGTTGCCATGGCAACAAGAAAAATCAATAATCTATTCCACTGATACAGATTTGTTGCCAACAATATTTTTGGAAAAGTCACCAAGTTTGGCGGTTCTAGCTCTTGCCGTTCAGACGCTATGTGACATCAAAGTTGCCGCGGGCACTTTAAGCCCCCCCCC